AATTTTTAATAAATATAAATATTGATAGTATACATAGTGATTTGAATACAAATTAAACAAAGCATACCAAATTCTAAAAAAGACTATAAATTCAAAACAAACTAATAGAAAATTGTTCGACAACTATCCGATTTTCGTCGTCTTTTTCAAGATCCTCACGAGTAGACAAAAATTCTACATTTGCGTTCTGAATTGGAGAAAGGTTTTGCACACCAATGAGTCTTGCAAATGTTTTTACCCTCTTTCTTCACTCATTTTAGCAGTGGATCATACATTATACACTATTTGTTAAATAATAAATAAATTAAAGGATGAAAAGTCACCAGAAATTGGTTGATTAAGATGAATACCTCTAGTAAGCCTCTTGGATTCAGCCATTGGAGAGTAAATCATAACGGAAATTGAAAAATACAAACAATTTTTTTTTAAGATTTAAACAAAAATAAAATTAGAAAAGAAATCTGAAAATAGGATTCTTGTTAATTCAATTTTGGATTAAAAAAACAACCAAAATATATGGCAAAAAAATATTTGCAACTTGAATGTTGGAGGAAAATAAAAAAAGATAACCATGAGAGTGAAAAAAATTAAATGGGAGAGAGAATTAATAATTTGAAAAGATAAATATGAGAGAGAATGATTTTTTTTTCTAAAAAAAGGATATATAGAATTAATTGAAAAAGAGAGATAAAATAGGAAGAAAATTGGGACACATAAATTTTTTAAAATAATAACATTTTTGACATTATTGCTAATATTTATAAAATATGGATATTTTTACTAAATATGTTATTTATTTTGACTAGTTTACTAATTTTTTCATAAAAAAATGTAAAGGAGAGGAGAGATTAATTTTGCCCAAGTTTAGATTGCTGGCCCATTCTTCCATCTGTTCCTTTGGACTGGAAAAAAGGGCACAGCATATACTCTCTTTTAATTAGCAATATATAACCTTTTTTTATTTTTATAACAAAAAAAAAAGATTTTTAAAAATGACAAATTTTGGCCCTTATGACCCACGTTAATATATGAGAAATAATTTAATTTTAAATTAATTATTTTTTAAAATTAATGACAACATGTCGCAGTTATAAACGTAAGTGGGACTTTGTTCCCTTTTTTTTTCTCTTCTTTTTTCATATACACGTTTTGTTTAATTGGTGAATATTTATTGATAATTTAAACATTTAATTCATTCTTCTTCGATCCTTATAAACAAAAGTGTTAAAAATTGATGTACTATTTTCTCTAGAAGATTTGTATGTTTTCACTTTTTATATTGTTGTTGATTTTTTAATTTTTTCAAGTTTCCACTGTTCTTTTCCCCTTGCAATATCAAATATAGTAATTGTGAACTCTATTTGCTATTTGGATGTACTTGGTGATGGTTGTTGCATGCAACTTCTTCCCTCACAAATCGATTGTCCTGCTTGTTTATTTAGTTAATCAGACGTAGATTCAAGATTTAAAAATTACGAAAGGCAAGTCCATATATTGGTTAAATTTTGTGAAAGTTTTTATAGAATTATGTACTAATGATAAATATAAATAAGATGATATTGAATCGACAAAGTTGACAATGTAGTTTGAAGGTAATGAGTACCGCGATACACATATATACATAATTTTTTTACTTAAGCAGAAAAATTATTAAAAATATCATAGACTTTACTTGTAAAATTATATTGAGTGTATATTGTTGTTGTTAAAAGGAGTAAAATTCTCTTAAGGAGTGTTTTTCTTATAAATAACCTTATACATGCGAATTCAAATCAATCAGGCTTCACATTATCGGATACTAGATATTAATAAAGAAAAAATTAAAACATGTAATTAACAAGTGAGATGCTCTCCAAGAAAAATAAAGGAAAATGCGATATTTATGGCCCATTACATTTGCTCATCTGCTTAGTAAAATGTATACTCATTATGTATATAGGTAGTTTATATTATATACAATATATAAAATCGAAGCGTATATTTTGACCATATTAGTACACTAGATGGCTATATATTTACACAAATTACAATAAAAAATATAATTTTAAGTTTTCTTGTGAACTTTTACTTTTCTTTATTTGTTGAATGAGAGAGATGAGCTAGGGAGGGAGGGAGATACAGTCTAAGTAAAAATTATTGGATTCGTCTGAAAAGTCACATTTCATTGCAGATCCGCCCTTGTGAATAGGTCAATTATATGATGACTAGAAACAAAACACAAGGTTTATCCATTTTGTGTACGTAAAAGAGTCTTCATAATAAAACTAGAATCACATATTTTACATGATAACAACTAAAACAACTTTAGTACATAATAATCAAATAAGCTTGAAGGAATACCTCAGTAGAAAAAATTATCTATTTTTTATTAATAAATATTACGGGAGGCAATTGGGCAGGTAAGGTCAAATTTGGGCGGAACATAATGAGTTCAAGACAACAATCGGGTCAAGACTCAATCCAGTTCAAATTTGCTTAGGTCAAAATGGATTATATTACAGGTCAAGACCCAACCCAACCCAATTTTTACTAAGATTAATTTGTAAATATGGCAAGTGGGATTGGGAGAGGGAGGAGAGGTGTGCGACAAAGGGAGAAAGTGGCAGAGAGGTGAATTTTGTATGTATATAGGTTAAATAATTGTATATTTTTTATATATATATATATATTTGTATATTCTAGCAAATTATATATATATATATATATATACAAATGTGACTAATTATACAAACTCGAAGTTAGGTTGCATAATTAATGAATAATGTTAGCCTCGGGTGGTAATTATACCAATCTATAGCTATAATGAGTAACTAAATAGTATAAATTTGCTTAACCGCGTAATTTTCCCTAATTTATAACTCTAGCGTGTTTCTTAATACTAATATTTATGTAATCATTTTAAAAAATTTGTGGTCAATAAAATTGGGTTACACACGTAATGCACGTGCCCGGAAGTAATATTTAAATAAGCTTGAAGAAATACCTCAGTAATAAAAAAATAATCTATTTTTCTAATTATTAAAGACTAGGGGCGTCATTTGAGCGGATTAGGTCAAATTTGAGCAGATCATAATTGGTTAAGACAACAATCGGGCCAAGACTCAATCCAGCCCAAATTTGCTTTGTTCAAAATGGATTAGGTAATGTATTACATAACGGATCAAGACCCATCCAACTCGATTTGTACTAAACTTAATTTGTTTTACTTGTTCTTTTAAAATATTTTAGTACTTATTAAAATTATTATTTTTCTTTATTATAGCTATGTAGAACAGACCAAATAAAAAAAATTAAGAAATATTTTGATATTATTTTTTATTAGTCAATTTTGAATTACATATCAATTCAACTTTTAATGGACCTATTAAAAACAAAATTCCTGATGTGCATCTCCAATTCGTGGTTAAATTACTTATAAATATCATAATTTTACGATAATCCATCGTTAACTGACTATATTAGAAGTGAATTACCACAAAACATCTAAGAACCAATTTTAAATCTACATTTTTTTGCACTAGATAAGCCACACTTTTTTAATGAAAATGTTTTCCTCTAATTTGTACAGAACAATTTCTATACATATATCATCTAAGTTGTTCAGACTCTCTAAAAATATTATCATAATCATTTCAAATCATGAAATACACTTTCTTAAGGATCCGACACACACACATGTCAACATTCTTTAAGAGTCTGAACAACTACTATTTCATTCCCCTACCCCGAGCAAGGCCCAGAAGCCCCATTCTTTTCTTGATCAGACCAACTCATACCCCTCTAGCCCGAGCAAGGTCCAAAAGCCCCATGCCTTTCTTGATCGGACCAACTCATACCGACGGAATAGCCTAAGCAAAAGCAACAACAGCAGCAGGGAAGAGGCATAGAAACCCAATGAACCACATAGATATAACATTTTCAGGAAGGAACATCCCCATGGCTACAATTATCGCGCAAGCAGCTGCTACGCTGCCTGTTTTCTCAGCAACGGCAGATGCAGCAGCTACCCGTTTAGTTTTCTTGCGTTTCTTACTCAACCACATCCCGAGAAATGTGGCAATAAATCCAACAGCATTAGCTGCCACCACAACATTTAGTCCTCGAAGAGACCTCGAGGATGTTGTGGTGGCAGATACATAAGCCATTAGGGAAACAGCTGCCTGCCCTGTTATTCCAAGTGTGATTTCCATCAATCTCGTTGAGAATTCTCTCGACGAGTGAGAAATCACAATTTTATTAGTTGTTGTTGGCAATGCATTTGTGAAATTCATCGCAATTGTCTCCTCAGCATCGATCAATATTCGTATCTCTTCAACAACATTGTTCATCTGATGATTAATGCTCTGTTCATAAATCGAATTATTCTTAATACGGAACGAATTATTTTGAAAAATATAACCTTCGAAAGATGGATTTTCGAGTGTTGACATGATTAAATTTGATCAATAAAAAAAATGAAATAGTTTTTTTTTTATATAATGAAGAATTTGTTAATAATATATGGATGATTTTATTTATAGTAGAAGAAGACATATTACCTCTGTAGATTCTTAGATTTTCCTGAAAATTTCTCATAAGTCAAATGATATTTTCAGTTGTTTCCTTTTTTTTTTGGTTCAAGTGGTAAAGCCTTTCTAATAAAAGCGGACGGACTCTGTATTTAAGGAGATTCGAATTTGAAATTTTTTGATTGAGGATAAAAGAGTTAATACCAAAGATTATTTTTTTTATCTATTAAATAACAATAAAGATATTTTTAAGGGAATCAAACTATTAATCACACTAAAAAGAAATTTTCCGCACTAAACTATTAACCGAGAACACATTTAGGAAAAACTATACAAATTGAACCTATAACGCAAAGTACTTAGATAAATTAGACCCAACTCAATACATCTATCTTGATTAGACTCACAATCCGAACTATTTATTTGATTGCCCCCCTTGTTATATTCACTCACACTATCCGAGTGTATATATATTACTCTGATGGTAATTATATATTTGATAGTACAAAATAATAATTTAATGATTTTTTCATTGAAATATAGAGTTGTCAAAATGAGCTGATTCAATTTTAATGAGCTAGAGAGTTAAATGAAACTTATCAATCAAATTGTAAATTCCTCCCATTTTCTATGCAATTGCCCAGACACATAAAAGTTTTTCTTTGCTTCCTTCGTAAGTTTCCTCCACAATTACCCAGAAATTCAACCAAAATATCTTGTTAGGCCCAGAAAATCAATTCACATTCCTCTGTGTGAACTCAAATAAATTTTCGGCTGCACTTACTTATAATTGAGATCTGAACTCATTTTGCAGAAAAACACAATATATCTTTTACATTTTCTACGATGAAGCAAAGAGATGAGGTAATTTTATTTTTGGTGTCGTCAGTCGATGAAGATCGACTAACGACAGCAAAAATCGTTACAATAACTTCTAGTTTAGCAACACTGATGCCTTTTCTTCCTTACGAATACATAGGACAAGATCGATTTCCTGTATTTATTCAGACAGGAAATCGATCTTTTTTCCATGTATTCGTAGTTTATCTAATGATATCTTTTGCTACTTCTTTCAGTGCTTTGTATTTGCTGAGGAAATACCCAAACGCAGCTAAGTTCTGCAAAAACTTCTCCATCACTTGCTTGATGTTCGCCATGGCTTTTGCTGCATTTTGCTTTTTGTAGATTCGAAATTTTTTTATTTGTACCTACGTATGTGATTTATGTTAAAGTTACTCAACTCATATGAAGTTTTCCTAGCTTGTTTTTTTCTTGATTATAATAATATATATATATATATATATATATATATATATAC